TTGCTTACTTACTTACTCACTTACTTACTGTAAACATCAAGCCTAAAGGCAATGCCCGAAGATGCCAACCTAAGGTCACCTTTTTAGCCACTACAGATCTGCCCGAAATGTCAATGAATACAAGAGCTAATGTGCCAAGATGTTCTTGTGGTACAAGTGCAGTTCACCGCAAATACCTGTCAGAGTTGTGAGTGAATAACTTCTTTTTCGCTGACTACTCAGATGAAACTGTCTAGTTAGTTGAATGTCTGACCGAGTGGACAGCGGGCTGAAATCTAGGTAGTATCCCCTAGGTTCATACCTATTTGTACCTGTGATTATTAGGTTAACACGACAACAGTGACAACATGTAAACTCGAGGGAATCAGTATAGCTGGCTAATGTGTAAAGGCTCGTCGCAAGCCATCGGCTGGCATTATCAGTATTCAAAAATGAACATTTGCTTTGAATGCGTGTTTATCATCGAGGTACGCGAATCGCACATCAATTCCTTCAACATCTAACCTAGGTTAGCACTGCGACAGTACTACTTAGATCCGCCCGCTGACACACTATTAGAAAAATAAATAATAACCCGGAGCTCCCCCATTAACGCTACAGTGAGCACTATTGTCATCCTCAAGATGATAGTCTCTGGCGAACACTCATCAGGAAATGGAGAATTTCACCAGGGTCCCACAAGGTCACGTTTGTCAGGTTGATGTGTGAGCACCTTGGTCAGGCATGAGAGTTCGTGTGTTGAATGGGTCCGCATGGTTCAAACTGCATCGGAGGAGTTTGGTCCTCCACCGAACGGCTCACTTGTTTTCCTGCACTGAAATGCACAGCGTCTCAAGGCTTTCTTTGTCCACCTAAAGAGCCGTTTGGCACGTCATTAGGGAGGGTGTTAGATTTCCTCAAGTCCAAAAATGTTAGTTACTTTTTTTCAAACTTACCCAAAAATGGTCTCACTGGTGCAATTTCTGGCATCCACGGTTTCGAGTGGGATAGTATGGTGTTACCATACTACGTTTAAGTGATTGCCCCCTGGTCACCGCGAGGGATCCCTTTTTCAAAAAAAGGAGTAGCAGACTTGCAAACGCAACAGAAGATAAGTTCAAGTTGGCGTCTGTCGCTGCACGGGCGTAATTTTATGATCAAAAATGCACGTCCATCTCGCGGCTTGATGCTCAAATCAGCGCATTACACGTCTAGTTTGTTTGAATACTCATTAACCTGGACCTGACAGAGGGCGTGAGCAGATCATTGATCCGATCCACGCACCCAGGTTGAGTGTGAATCTCCGGAAACTACCAACAGCATCATGCTGTATTTACCAGAAATCCTGTTTGAGTTCGTTGATCCTGATCAAACTAGATTGTGGGATGCCCTTGTAGGAGTCCAGAGAAGTGGCCGAATCTTTTTCTAGATTTGTAATTCTGCGTACGTCAGACCTGAAGAGAGTCAATCACGGTGCCTGAAATGTCGAGCAAAAAACCTCGAGGTATCAGTGTTGTGTTATCCTATTACAATTCAACCAAACAGAGGAGTACCCATAATCTGTGTTTTGATTGTCTAAAGACTGAGTTCACTAGACCACCGGATAACGAACATTTTCAGGTACTAAAAAGATTGTTTACATCAAAGTTCGCATAAATAGGTTTTCAGGCATAACATCATGAACTATTCATCCCAACGCTACAGTTGCTCGAATGGTGAAAGATGTTCGAGTATTGAAGAGCGATTTAAATGTGACTGCTAAAATGCTAAAATGCTAAGCGCTGCTATGGGATGTGCGTCAACAAATTCATCTTCTATATCCACATCCAGACGGACTTAGCTAACCCTCCACCTATTGAAATTATTCCTATTTAATTTGTTTGATGGCATCCGTATAACAAGAAAGGAAGGTTTTCTTAAGGTGTCAGTGTCTGTTTATCGAAATGTTCGTAGCTTAGGTGTATTATTTGGCTTCTTGGTTAGAATACGATCTGTTGTGCGTTTTGGGTTGTCTTTTTTGCGTTTATTCAACTTCTCTGTGATCTGCATGTATGTTTTCATTTTCGATGAATCTTTATCCACCTTCTGCGCTCTCCCTCCAATTAAAATAAAACACAAGCACTTGAAGCAACTATGTTGAACTTTAAAATATTTCAAAGAACGTTTCGAATAACAAAGAGCGGTGGATGCTATCAAAACCAAAATGACACACCTGCAGTGATCATTGCGGCACAAGGACTGCGGCAAACACTGCGTGGGACGGACAGTTAAGAAGGAACAATAAACACAAATCTGCTCCCAGGATCTGCTCCCAGATCAATTCCCATGGTGGAAACTAGTATGGA